CAATATCGTCATAAAACTTTTTTGTTGCGAAATCTCATCTAACATGAACAGATTCCCCAACAGCTCTCACAGGGTCGTCCTCAACGCCCAGCACCGCGGAAGTGATCGCAAATATTAAAAATAAGATTCCACCAGCAAGAGAAATATGTCTTTCGGAGATTTGCCTCGCCAACAGTTTCCCACCAATCACCGCGATTCCCGTACCTGCTATAGTACAGTGCGTGGCACTTCGAAAAGACAAAAAATGTAAAAAAATGTGCGTTATTTTCCGAGATTAGTGAAAAACAATTCGAAAATATATATCATATATAATGTAACCACAACTATAAACATGCGTTGTGATCAAAACTTCCCTACCACACTAACAAACATTCTCCACATTTCCATATACTGTATATGCAAATGTGCGCGTGTAATCAATATATGACAAAAAAATGTATATATAGGGGGTAAAAATCTCTACTTCACACATTTTCCTTGGTGTGCCGAATCGAATAGTATATACCATAAACCATTAGAAATTCGGACACTTTACCGTCCTCAGATGCTACTCGTGATATCGGATTCCCACGTAGCGTATTTTCAACACAATTGAGTTTTCCACTATCGAACTGAGCTGTGATCCTTCTATTATACGATGAATACCCAAGTAATTTATATTATTAGTAATCAAAAAATATACTCCCAATTTTCCTATGCTACCACCAAACGCCGTTGACCATGTGCATATTTCCCCCCACACTGCTATACATAATACAGATATCATAAATACTCATTGCAAAAAGCGCGCGCCCGACCTCCTTACAGATGCAATGACCGAGAACACCACCAATGGTGACTCCCACAGGGTTCTTGGAAGACGCCAACGCTATAGTCGATATTTGACTTCGATCGCCCCACTCAGCGAGGAAGGTCATCGTGAAGGCCTAACGCAGCAACAAGGATAAAACAGTAGCAGTAAGGAGGAAACTTGGAGAAACTCGTGTTGGTTTCTGTACACTTCTACCAGAGATCAAATGTGAACTCTCGAGCTCAGCTGAGGAAAGGTACGAAATTCTTATACGGCTTCTGTACATTCGTATATAAACTCCTATAATTAGTGAGGAAACTTCGGAGAGCGAACATACATTCCCCCACCACTTGACAATGGCCAGCTTAGTGATTCGGTAACGCATCATTGTGAATGAGAATCACTTCCAAAACCGATTTTGA